TCTGTTTTCTTTTTTATTTATTATATTATTTAAAAAACCCTTGCTACGTGTACTGCGTTTAGCTAACTGAGACTTGTTATAGCACTTGTATATCATTGCTCTTTTGTTGAATTTTATTGCTTCCATTGTCCTCATTTGTAAGTCGCTTTGGATAAAAGCATCTGCTAAATGACTAAATGTAAATGTAATATACACATTTATCTATATGCTAATATCATATATAGCGTTATCTGTATTCTAATGTACTCCTAAAAGTTCCTTTAGCAGATTTAAAATACATATTCATGGTTGTAAAATATTGATGACTCATCCTGCACTACATTGTTTTGTGCAATCAGATGCTTTCTAGTGTAGGAATGTCTATAAAGCTAATAACATAAACTTAATAACATAAAAAAGGTAATTGTCTATTTTTTAAAGGGACTACTTCTGCCCAAACATACAGCTTCAATAGAAAATGTCAACAAAAGAAAAAAAATGAACGTTAATTCATTTAATCAGGTCTTTAAACCAAACAAAATGGCAGCATGTTTTAAAGGGATAGTTCACCCAAAAATGAAAATTCTGTCATTAATTACTCACCCTCATGTCGTTCTAAACCCGTAAGACCTCTGTTCATCTTCGGAACACAAATTAAGATATTTTTGGTGAATTCTGAGAGCTCTCTGGCCCTCCCATAGACAGCAATATAATTACCACGATCAAGGTCCAGAAACGTAGCAAGGAGATCGGTAAAATAATCCATGTGACATCAGGGGTTCAACCGTAATATTACGAAGCTACGAGAATACTTTTTGTATGCAAAGAAAACAAAAATAATGACTTTATTCAACAATTCGTCTCCTCCGCGTCACCCTGGTGCCATTTTGGAGAGTATCCACTGAATGTAAACAGCGTATGCTATTCTGTTTCAGCTGCGTCACACGGATACGTTTTTTACGTTGTTTACGCTTTGATTTGAACGAAAACAACGTATCCGCGTCAAATTACATTGGGTCAGAGTCAGAGAGCTCACAGAATTCATCAAAAATATCTTAATTTGTGTTCCGAAGATGAACGGAGGTCTTACGGGTTTAGAACGACATGAGGGTGAGTAATTAATGACAGAATTTTCATGTTTGGGTGAACTATCCCTTTAATTACGCTATTTACAGTCTTTCAACAAAATGAAAATAACTTGCTCCGCATCTAAAACGACCTTCCTTTCTGGATGCCATCCAATTCCATTCAGGTATGCCATGAAATTAAAAAAATTTAATTTCCTCGTAAAATCAAGTCTTTACATTTTTAATGGTTGAATATCCCATTTCACTTAAAAATGTGTCAGATTACAGAAGTAATAGAAATTGGTTGTCAATAGTGCTTCACATTGATTCTGAGGGTTTCAGCCAACACCATGGCCTCTAGCTTGCTAGCTGAAATATTTCCGTCACAATGTAGATATTTTTAGAGCAGACTTCTCACAGTTTTACTTGTATTACCCAATAACTCTGTTCAGTTTCTGTAGAAAAGCTCTTTGCTAATTCCTCAAATGCCCTTTGAGCCCAGCGGCTGTGCCAATGCTGCAGACGTGGAGAGATTCAACAAGCCAAGATTATAAGATTAAAGACAGGGAAGCATATTTACAGTCATCCACCATCTTCTCTGGTTGTAAAACGGTCTGCCGACTTGGATATGATTCAATGTGCTCAAATATTCAAGCAAAAGCTGTTTTTTTTTCACACAAGCAACTGTCAACTTCATAATAACCAGTTGTCAAAATAATTAGATATAATACAAACTGGGTTTTGCAAGTCTTAATTATAAAGACCATCGGTTTTAATATATCCAGTGATTTGGGAATTCGGGACACTGGACTGGCCAGCACTAATGCTATAAAATGGTAAATATTGTTATCCAATTACTGCAGAACAACTGCATTGTGTTAAATGTGCATTTTTAGCTCAGCACAGGTTAAAGTGATAAACATTCTTTCATCATTTACTCATCCTCATATCATTCCAAAACTGTATTGACCTGTATTAAATCAAGAATGAGATTTGTGTTTTTGTTTGCCTTCAGAAGATCTGGAATAAAGTACTTTTTTGACACTTTTAATATACATTATAGTGCAGTTGGAACATTCAACAAAATATCTCCCTTTGTTTGGATTGACATGAGGGTGAGTAAATGATTCAGAGACAGTATTTATTTATGCATTTAAACTGCACTGAGTTGCAAATACACATATAACCATTATATATTTATAATTATACATTTATTTTTGATAAAACTCGGGGCAATATAGGAAATTACAGCAAGCAGCATAACCAAATCCTATTGCAGTAACAGAGAAAATTGAAAAGGTCATTTTAAGTTCAGTACAGTCTGGGTTGGAAGTCTTTTCAGGAGATCAGTGCTGGGCCATTACTTAAATCATGTAGTTTCCTTAGCCTCATTACCCATGATGCACTTCAAAATTCAGAGAGAGAGGACTCTTAAAGACTAAAGTAATATAAGTGTTTTATATATTCAGTTTTAGTTTATTAATATTGGTACTTAAACGTATTTCAGTTAGTTAAGGCAGCATTTAAATTTTTTATGTAATATTTATTTGATTTTAGCTTCATTTCAATTACCACAAACGATTTTTAATAGTTTTACTTTGATTTAAAAATAACAACACTAGGTTAGATTATGTGCAGTAATAATAATACATTTTAACACATTTATAATGTCTGTAATTATCATTATTGACATTTAAAAGTGTGTTTTGCAAAATAGAATAAATTGGGACATTTAATATTAAGGGCAAACTGTAGTTAATTAAAGAGCTCAAAACAGTTTGTCATATAACACCTCATTTTAGTGCTTCAGAAATGCATAATGGAGATCAGGGCTTAGTTGTCACAACTAAAATTCCAGTATCATCATATTTCTGAACATCATAAAACTACTCTTATAAATGTCAGGTCAGAGTATGTTGCTTTTCCATTGGGGAATGTTGTCACACAATGTCTTTTTCCAGGACAGTAATGTTGGAAATGTTAACTAATGAAGCTTAGAAATACTCCAAGGAGTAAAAACTTTGACAACATGCCCCAGTCTCTTCTAACATGATATATAGATCAACAAGTTATCTACAGTAGCTATCCCAAAAATGTCAATCACAACCCGTTCAAAAACAGCGCCACATATGACATCCCACCTCATTATATTTTGTTCAAATCGACACAATAAAGTGCCGCCCCCTGCTGTTTGACCCTCACAGGTCAACAGTAACGATCCACTCTCGCTCTTTCTTGTCGGATTGCACTACGCACGGAGGGCGGACAGCAGTGATTCACAGCAGGTGGGCAGAGCGGGAGCTCACAAACAGGAAACGTCATCAGCATCACCGGCCGGGAGTATCAAAGAAACCCGAACGCTACATGCCACCGATTTGCATACACACTGAAAAAAACACGCCATCCCCCAGTGGAACGGCTCAAGATCCTATTTGTGCAGTATGGAAATCATCACTTTTACTGTAAAACGATTTCTAATCCCCGTCCATCTGCCTCGGACGTAATTGCAAGCCTCTTAAAGACCGTAGCTGCCAAAACTGTCCGTCTCACCTGAGTCCTTGGCACTTGGGGGAAAAGATTCAGGGTGGTGGGTCTCTTGGGCCGGTATGTATCCATGGCGACGGCAGGGATGAAATCCGTTAGCTGAGGCTGAGTGACAGGCGGCCCTGCGCCCTGCTCTTCCTTGTGGTTGTCATCGACGGCATCAACTGGCCGCCTCTCGTTCTCCTCTTCCTCCTCTTCTGCATCAATCAGGTCCAAGTGGAGCATCTCCGTCTGCAGCTCCACCACCCCCCTTCTCCGGCCGCTCCTCGGCGTGCCATTGGTCGGCTGAGTCATGTGATCCTGGGAAGAGCAGGCAGCAGAGCTTTAGAGGCGAGAGCAAAGGAGCTGCAGTCAGACGCAGCCGGCCAATCAGAGCGCGGTGATGACGTCAGCCTGTGGCTCCCTTCCTGGCTGCTGTAAGGAAAACTAATTCAATCCCAGAGAACAATGAGGCGTGTCACGCGACATAAGCAAAATAAACACACCCAGAAATGACGAGGAGAGAGATTATAACATGTTTAATTACGCTAAACTGCCTTGTTGTATTTAAACGCAGCTCTTCTTACCATAAACACCATGTCAGTTATCACATTAAAAGGCTGGGAAATCAAAAATGAAGGATTTTAGATATTAGATAGATAATGATATCCATGCTAACAGTCAGATGTTATTGAACATGTTATAAATTCTGTCAAAACCAATTACGCTGAACCTCATTGTCTTTCGACACATTTTCTTATAATGCTAATCATTGCATAATAAGGGTAGTGAAATCTTAAAAGAGGTATTTTTGTTTTAGTCAGACGATGAAAATCATGATGTGACTGAACATGTTTTGAATTCCCTGTGTCAAAACCATTATGCTAAATTGCCTTGTCTTGAAACTCAGGTTTTCTTAGCATAAACACTTACGATGCTAATTATCACAAAAAAGCTTTGAAATCATAAATTAGAGATTTTTTAGTCGTCAGACAATGATCATGTTAAACCATCAGATGTGACTGAATATTATAAATTCTCTCTGTGTCAAAGCCAATTATGCTATGCTATGCTAACTGCCTTATTATCTATTAACACAGCTTTTCTTAGCATTATGTTATGTGGTGCTAATTATTACATATAAAGGGTAGTCAAATCATAAATTATGGATTTTTGTTTAAGTGGTCAGATGATGATATCCATGACAAATTGGCAGATGTGATTGAACGTTATAAATTCACTCAAAGCCAGTTACACTAAATTGCCTTCTTGTCACTAAACACAGCTTCTCTTAGCATAAACACTTATGTTATGACAGTAAGTCACATAAAAATGTATCAAAATCATAAACTAGGGATTTTTGATCAATCACATTGTCCAATTACACTAAACTGCTTTATTGCCTTCAAATGCAGCTTTTCTAAGCATAAACGTTTATGCTATGATACTAACTATTGCACAGAAGAGGTTGTGAAATCATAAATGAGGGATTTTGAAGTTTAAGTGGTGATGTGATGATATCCATGACCATGATAAACAGTCAAATGCGATTGGCATTAACACAGAATTTATAACATTAATTTACGCTAAACTGCCTTATTGTCTGTAAACAGTTTTTCCTAACATGAAAATGTATGTTAGGATGCGGATAATCACATAAAAAAGGCTGTGAAATTATGAGGGATTTTGTTTAAGTTTAAATGGTTAGACGATGATATCCAAGATAAACAGATAGGATTGACTTTGAAATCTCCCCTCAGTGTTCATGTCTAATGCTAATTGGCGCTGAACACAACAGCCTCTATTGTGACCTCACTCACTCATAGTCATATGAATACTGATATACTCTGTCTCTACACATATTTGGACTGCAATACATGGAAACTGATGATGTGCCTTTGACCTAGAAATCTATTTTTGCTGTGGGCTAAACAGCTTGCCAAGCTCAGCACCATCAGATGATTCCTCACTCAGCTCCAGACTGTGTCTCATGGAAAGATAAGTGACTGTTTGGTTTTAGGGTAGAGAGATATATAAACCACACACACGTTTTACTTTGTGGTGGGGACCGCCTGTTGATGGCTACTGTTTTTGAATTAAGATAACTGTGATTACTAATGGTAATCATACTCTTTAAATACATTTTAATTAATGGAGGACACAAGAGAGGTCAAAAATGGAAGGGATAGATCATGCAAAAGTTAACTTTTTGGTCATCATTTACATTTACTCACCATCATGTAATTTTAAACCTGTTTGACTTTGTTTTGATCATAGAAAGCAAAAGGAGATGTTTTACAGAATGTCCAAGCTGCTCTTTTTATGCACACTGAGAGCCTAACATTATCTTTTGTTTTCTACATAAAATGATTTTTCAAAGTTGTAAATACATTAATGTTAAGTGTAACATTTGACTCCTGAACTAGTCTAATGTAGTGAGCTGTAAGTTCATAGCTGGATTTTAGCCCACTGGAGATTAGCTACAGGCTCAGATCAGATGTTAATTAACCCGTATAGGCATGTACAGGTGGTGCTTTGGCACACCTCCCAAAAATCAGAGTAAACCCTCACCCCACAATATATATTCAGCTAAATATATGCCAATAAATAAATAAGTATTGAAAATCACATAAATATATTGCTTAAATATACAAGTAAATATATTTAAATTAAAAAAACCTAAATAAATGATTCTCTCTTAGAAAATAGGTACAAAATCTATCACTGGGGCAGTATCTTTTCAAAACGTACTAATATGTGCTAATACGAACTTTTAAGTAACAAATATGCACCCTTTAGGGGTACAAAAGTGTACCTTTTGAAAAGGTAAGTACCACCCCAGTGGCAACTTTTGTATCTTTTTCTGAGAGTGTATGAAAATGTATTTGTTTACCTCAAAATTCCAGCTATGAAAACAGACTAAAATCTCTACAGTAAGTTTATTTGAGGGTACAGACTTACTTTAGGATTGAGGTCGAGCTGGCTGAGAGTGATTCCGTTCTCATCCGTGATTTCTGTCACTTCTGACAGGTCGTCATCCTCGTATTCATTCAGACTGATATCATGGGTTAACCTGCAAAGCGCCAGCACACCCACGCAGACAGTGACACACACTACGTCATCTCTCCACGAGGCCATCGCTAGACAATCATACACAGAGAGAGGGCAAGGCTCTCCTGCTCATCTGATAACTTCACGTCGACTACTGCAATGCTGTAAACTTCTAGGCGTATTACTCACTGATCTATAAATGTAAACAAAATTTTAAAGTAGTTTCTTTTAGTCATTTAATGTAATCCTGCAGGTATCAGTTGGCATTCTGCTAACTTTAAGTTTATAATTTAAGTCTATTTAATAAACCTTTATATCAATTTATATTTATATATAAACAAATTTACATAAAATAATATTACAGACTTATCAAAGGTTATATTCAGAATTATGTATGTTACGCATATGGAAATCTGTTGTAAGAAAGCATAAGCAAAAACAAACAATTCTTCTGTTTTTTTCCCCCTAAATGTAAATGCTTTTTTAACACATTATATGAACTTGCTTAATGACAATATTATTTATTATACCTAATGTTTAGAAATAAAGTTGTTTTTAAGCATTCTTACCCTCTATCTGCAAGCTAGCCGTTTACTGACAATTTAAGCTTTAAAAGCACTCAGACATACTAAATTCACAGTGCTTCCTGTGTATATACCTGCAATTGTGCAGCCGCCCACATTTCTAGATAGATAAGATGAACAAGACAATTTAACATGATAACAATGAATTCAGTTAAGCGAATGAACCTAGCATAACTATAAACGTCTTTTTGCACACCACAGTCGTTCCTTTATCTTTTGATTATGATTTTGTACCATGCAAAAGACTCAAAGCAAGCCTAATTTGAGATCAATAAACACTATATACTAATTAAATTACAAAACCTTCAGTTTTATCCATAACCCTACATCTATTTCCTTCATGCACACCTAACTACCTATTGGCCTATTTCAGAGAACACGAGCTGATCCAAGGTCAATTAAGTGCAGCATAAAAAGGCCGTGTAGGGGACACGGCTGCATCACTACTGTACCATTTCTCCCACTGTTCCTCCATCCAGCTGTCCCCATCCTCTCTGGAGTCCATGGCCAGGCTGAGCACCATCTGCGGGGCAGGGCGGGGTGCCACTGGACCCTTCTTGGGGGGGGGAAATCGATGGAGTCGACAATTATGCCACTTTTATTCTCCACCACCAGTCCGGTACTCCACACAGAAATGTCCTCCACGAGGGTCCTCAGGGGGGTTACATCAGCCACGGGAAGCTGTAGTGGATGTCCTCACTTCCCCTGGAAAACATCCTTCTGTACACCCCTGACACTCCTTGCTCTGCGTGTGTCCTTCAATGGAGCCATTAAAGTCATCAGTGGATGAGGGAGAGCGAGAGAGAGGCAGAGAGAGAGAGAGAGAGAGAGAGGCGTAGTCTCCACTAAAAGAGTCTGCCACCCGTGATTGATGGTCCAGATCAATGCGGCTCAAGTTGCCACCTCCACACAAGTGCAGGCCGGTTCGGCAAAGAGATGCCTGCTGGGAATCGATGGCATTGATAACAGATGAAAATATCTGGAAGGCTGTCTGTGATTTATATTGTATCATTAAAGTTAATTAGGAACTCCTCCTAAACCCTGTTAATTAGATTCAGATCTCCTTGCGTTTCATTAATGGAAAAACAAACATGTTATTGACGGATCATACATGCGTCTTCTTATTTTACATTGTGCGGTGGGGCGATTGCAGATAACGTGTTATTGACTTGGAGGAAATTCGTTTCATTGCGGGACTCTGCAGAAGATGGAGGATGACGAGAGAGAAACGGGCAAAGAGGCAGAGATAAGAGTCTCTCCATGGTCATTATGCTCTATAAGAGCAGACATTAGCTGACCTGGGCAGGAGCTGAGAGCTCTTCCCTCATTAGCGCAGCTCCCACAGGACGCCATTCACATCAGCTCTGCATACAGCAGCTCTATTGCACTACTACACTGCCAGTCTGAGATAAACACCAGCACACTGCTGGATGCTGAGCAGTTCGCTCAGATGTGCACTGACGGCACACTGTTTTAATACAAATGAGAAAATCATTCATTCATTTAGAAAGAAAAAAAAAGCATTTGTGACTTTATCGTATAAAAAACAACATAAGAGAACAAAACAAAGAGAGAGAGAAAAAAAACAGGACAACCAAAAAGAATATATGATAGAACATAGAACATAAAAAAGAGAGAGAAAAAAATAAAACCAACAAAAAACTCAAAACACACACCAAAGCAGAACAAAGAAATAAAAAGTCCAAAACACAACACAGAGAGAAGAGAGAGAGAGAGAAAAACAAACAGAAAAAGGACAACAAATGCGCACAAGACAACAACAACAAAAACAGACCAAAAGAAATAAAAACAAAACAGGACATCAAAAGGACAGGGCAAAAAATAAATAAACAAATAAATACAAAATATATTATGAATTTAATAGAAATAAAAAATAAAGGCAAAAATTCTAAAATAAAACACATAATAATAAATAAACAATAATACTCATAAAACAATACACTGAAGATTTATAAATAAAAAACACTAGATTTAAATAAAAATAAAAAACTCAAAAACTAAACACGTTTATGTATACATGCACCCAAAACAGAACAAAAAAAAGAACATGAAAGAAAAAAAAAATCAAAAAGACAAAAATAAAATACAATTCTAAAAATATACATTTATTAGAAATAAAAATAAAGAAAATGCAAAAAAAAAAAAAAAATGCAGAAATAAAATACACAATACTAAATCGTATTAAACCAATAAAAATACATGCACTGGTTAGTCATAAAGAGAGACATCTGAACATTTGGAAAGATTTATCAATTAATTAACAGCTTTATGACTATGACCATAAATAGAATCAATTTTATTCACTTAATGCAAATGAGCAGCCCTTCAGCATTTTCATATATTTATTAAAAAATACAAACCTTAGGTCAATATGTCGCCCTCTAGTGGTGGTTGAAGTCTGAAGGCAAAAATTGTCTGATCACTTCGAAAAGTGAAAACACACCTTCTACAAGCTGCAAGAATTCATGTCTGTAAAACAAAGGGTGTTGAATGAATAAAGAAGTTTTCATTTGAAAGAAAAACAAATAGGTTCAAGAAATTTATTTGAGAAATTGTAATCTACATTGAAACATCGTAGATGCAATATATCGCAGAAACATTGTTTGCCGCTGACAGAAGCATGCAGTGAAAAGGCTCAAATAAATTACTGCCTACAAACAGAACATCTTAAACCCGTCAGCCTTTTAATGAAAATAAACTCCTTTATACAATACAAAAAAACAAAAAAATAAATAAAGCTGTTCCACATTGCCAGAGAGAACATCTTAAACTGTTAAATTATCATGAATGCACACATTAGTGGAATGTACAATTAATCCTTGTCGACTGTTAGAAAATGTTAAAATGAATCACTTGGTAAATAAATCAAGCTTATTGAATTATAAACTGAGGATTGGATACTGTTAAATTCTGAAAACTTTAGTGCAGCAAGTGGCAATGAAATGTTTGCATTCAGAGTTACATAAAGCGTATATTAATGGGGATAAATTACTGAACCAGAAACCGAAGTAGTAAAATTCTTCATTGCTTGTGTGAACTAAATGCCTGTAGCTTGCAAGCAATTATAGAGTTCAACTACAACAGACTTCATATTCTGAAATTCATGTGGTCAGGACACTGTAGGCCATATCTTCAAATGTTCCCTCATCATTTCCATTATCAATCCATAAACCAGAGTTGCATAAAATTTGGCTAGATTCCAAGAATACTTGTATCGGCATATCGCTTGTTAACCTTAACTTTCACTGGAGACGGCAATATATCCATTAGATCTGTCAGATCGCAATGCCAGGAGAACTACACATCTGATACAGATTTGTATCTTCATACAATCATGTTTAGTTTAGCAGGTCAAAACTGGAAAAAAAGCAGCTTTTTTATCATTGATGTTTGACAAACAAGCCCTGGATTTGTCACAGGCATTGACGGAACCGCAGCGTTAATTCTTTTGTTATTTTTTATTAATGCTGTTTCTGTTTTTCTGCAAAAGGTGGCGCCATTCGCACACTTTTCTCCTGCCGTTTCTGTCTATGGGATGGTTCAGCGAGGTGGACTCCTCAGACTTCCTTGGATATGGGACCGCAAACGCAGTCTCAACCTGAAGAGGGTAGAAATATAATTCATCATCATCACTGTTCATTTTGATCCTTGCTGAATATGCTTAATTCAATTGTGGGATTCAGCAAAATAAATTGACTAAGAAATAAAGCTGGATTATGAAACAGCTCCCACACACCTCATCATAAAACATAGCAGTAATAACTAGATACATGTTCATTAAACGGGAGCTGCTAGCTATTAAAATTAAAATGACTGACTTGACCTAAAAAGGTTGCTTTAAAGCCTGAAAACTGGACTTTCACTCAGAGATGCAAACAAGTAAGGGGGAAAAAAGGTGAGAACATTGCGCAGATCAGGGGCATGCTCCACACTGGATTTCCTTTAAAGATATTTGCTTTACATGCTGTTTTGTAGATACTTTAAAGTTGTTGTTTTTTTATTACCTTATATGTGCAAAAACGTTATTTTTCACCAAAAAAAATAAATCTTGTTCCATATTACAAAAATAAAAATATTTGGTCAAAATCCCATGCTATTTAAGACAATATTGGCTGATTAGATGGCAATGCTGACCTAAAATGCAAAATGTTTGCCCTCTCTCTCCACCGTTCCCACATCTCAGACCTCAAATACATAAAATATTACTCTTTTTAGACAGTTTTTGAAGTAAAGAGTAAAGAAAATAGTATACAAAACATACTGAAACAACCAGTTCTTTATTTACCCTTGTAAGATCACAAGTACCCACAGGAGTTTGCATCTAAGTCAATGCATATATGCATAAATTTAAAGGGGTCATATGATGCGATTTAAATTTTTCCTTTCTCTTTTGGAGTGTTACAAGCTCTTGGTGCATAAAGAAGATCTGTAAAGTTGCAAAGTGGTACCTGTGGTCACTGCTTGTCATCAGTCTTCTGCTCGACTCCTTTGGCTTGATTGGTGTGCTTGACTTTTGAATTGTTTGCTTGGGAGCCCAGAGGGTCGGCTCATTTTCCTCTGGGTGTGGGCCCCGGGGGCAGCTGCTGTCGGGCTTGAGTTTGGGGTGGAGGGCTCCGAGTTGGGTGGGGTTGATGGTGCAGGGGTGGGCTGGTGTGGTGATGGGGTGGGAGTGGACTCTTGACCTGCAGAAAACATGATGGTGCTTCAGCAAAAGTACTGTCCTGACTAGAATAAATATTTGTTTGGTTTTAGGGGTGAAGGGATGATTAGTTATTAACATTAATGGTGAAGTCTGCTTTATGCATTTATTTTCTTTAGCATTGTAAAACTTTTTTTTGTGAGATCAGGGAGTCTAGTTACATTTTGCATCACAGATAAAAACAAAGCATAGCTAAGAAAACTGAAAGCTGCACAGTGAATCCTGTTAGTATGATGGATGATTGACGTGTCTCACCGGCAGTGCTGCTGCTGGCCTGAGAGTCATCTGACATGGGAGGCTCCGCCTCTTCCTGGATTGTAGGGACTGAGGCGAGCAAACCTGCCGAGAAAAGAGAGAGAGGCTTTGTTGCAATTTTTCAAGTCAATCAAGTTGTCATCTGCATACAACTGAATAAATATACAGATGTCACATTACAAATAATCATTATCTCTTTGATGGACTGGGTTGTAAATTTAATGACATTATTTTATCTGTTAGTAAAATGCTACAAATATTGATATTTTTTAGGACACATTGAAATCACGAGGACTTGTGTAGCAAGACCTCTTTTAGTCTTAACAAGCAATGTTCTCAGCCTTGTTTTTTTGCAATGTTATTTAACACTTCTAAAAATTGAAGAATTACTAAGAATTACTCAAAAGAACACTGCTAAGAACTGACTTAAGTGTAAAAAAATTCTTGGCTCAAAGCGGAGCTTAAAAGTTAGTTATCAAGCATCTCATTTAAGCAAAGTGTAGGACTAAATCTTAAGTGACAGTCTTAGAGATGATTCACGACACTTTGCTGTGCCACAAACGGGATTTTGGATGACGACATAGGCATGGACCATTCTCTGAATAGATTTCCTTATTTAAGAATATTCTCAGATAAATTCACATTGAATGGTGAAATTCCTAAGAGGAGTTTACATTCAACACACATTTGACAATGATATACACATTGGAAATGAAAGATAAACACGTTTTCCACCATGTCTTAATTACAAATTTAAACCAGTGTGCGGTTACCTGACCTGCCTTTAGGGTTGTGCCGATAGATGACAGTCAAAGATATCGCCTGTTGCTGATGATAGCAAGACGATTATCATTATTATCCGTCAAAAATAGACTAGGCGCCTATCTTCAGTGATGTAGTGTGGAGAGCCGCTTCAGAAACGTGCGCGGCTGGTATAAACACAAGCATTGACCAGAGTGGCCGTGATCAGCTCCGATGGCCGTGTTGGAGCGGTAACGCACCGCAGACATGTGCAGTGTAAGTGGTAAGAGATTTATTCATTATACAGTGTAGATAGCTTCACTGATTATAACGGGAGTGTTTTTTAAACAGCATAATACTTGTGCTAGACTGAAATCAGTAATGATGTTCTTAATGAGGAAATGTAACCGTTTGATTAACTGCTCATCGTCAAACATTTCAAAACATTCTTCTTCTCCTGAAAGATTTGCGCACGTCTCTGTCTCCTCGGCACCATCACAAGCCCCTACTGGCAACTCCTAACCACTTGAGAGACCTCTCGAGCTGTAATAACTGGGAGAGTAAGAGTGATTCTTAGCTTTAAGAAATTTGATAACTTGCTTTTATACTTAAGCTTGAAAGTACTTTGTTTGAAAGTTTGAAAATTTCATGAATTCTCAGAACATAAGACTAAAATGGCACTAGTTTGAGAAGCTTGATAAATACGGGCCCAGATATCTTTCAAAATGGCAGCTTTGAAAAGCTTTTTAATTTATTGCATCATCTGCAATCAATTTTTA